AATGATAAATTTTTATTACCAATAATTCAATGCACTTAAATATCACTTTCACTGGAATATAGTCGCTTTCACATTATAAGCAGGAAACTAACTGACTCAAGTGTGCAAAAGACGCATCAATTAATAGTAGGCAAATGTTTGTGTTTATATTTATTTATAGTAGCAATGTTTTCTATCACCTTTAATCCCGCTCGTTTATGACCATATTTGGTAATGTTTACAATCTAAGTAGGTTTTTGATAATGTTTACAATAAAGGTTGATTTTAGATAGATAACACATTTAATAATGTTTATAAAATGGGTAGATTTAAGTTAGATTATTAAAAATTTTTCAAAATATGAATTTTCATTGATATGCGGCCCGTCTAAGTTTTGCTAAAATGACAAATGGCCCGCAAACTTAAAAAGGTTGGTCATGCCTGGACTAGACGGTCGTAACGCATTCACCCCACCCCGCTCACCATTCGTCGACAACAATATTTTCCAACCCGTAGACGCACGCATGTCATCAATTATATAAATAAATAAATTTTTATCCTGTATAATTTTTGGTTTTCGTACTCGTACAAACGGGCGTATCATCAATATTATATATAATAAACAAATTTTTATTGTTTATTATTAGATATCAACATTTAAAGATTCAAATTTTCTTGAGTTAATATACATGTATAATACATAAGGAATTACAAATACAGGTAGCTAACTGGTTTTTTATGATGATATTAGCAAGCATATAGCCTTTATTATCAATGGTAATAAGACACATTATTGTAAGTTTATAAACACACTAACTGGCAATACAGAAATTATATCCATTGTTAGTGATTGTTCGCGCTCGTTATCACGCTATTAAGAGATATCTATAATAATGATGGTCGCCGACCAACANAATGAATATTAACATATACGCATATACGTACAAATATTAATATATAATCTTCGCATAATATCGCGGCACTTTCGCTGGCATCGACGACGCGTTGTCCGGCATGTTCCTCGGACGTCAACAGGTTAGCAGCGTTGATAGCGACGCCGCGCGAGTGCGGATCGAAACNAAATTATAATAAAAAGATACAGTCCACTATTTTTAATATTCGTATTTATCAATTATTTATTTATTTATTATACATATTGAACCAGCTCGAAACAGTGATAATTGACAATAAACACTCCGTGACTGTAACAGCGATGTCATAAAAAACTAAAAAGTGAAAAATAAATCTTGTTTAAAAAAACTGAAAAACACGCTTTTAAAGCATATCTAACTAAAAAGTTTAAAATAATTTAAAAAATAACCTTAAAACAATAATACTGGTATTTTTTGTTCAAATATATTTATTTGTGCGCTGATTTCAAATCTGCAATGAGAGTTACGCATATGGACTAAATAATAACAAAATCCTTCCAATTAATATAAAAAATATTTATGTTTGATTATTAGGTTACGTATGAATAATCAATAAATATATTGCAATTAAAAATAAATTTAAAAAAAGGTTCTACTTTCTATGCGCATTTTTAAGTTTTGAACCAATTCTGTATAAAGGGAAATGGTCCGATTTAAAAAAATGTATGTCGAATGAAAAAAAAATATAAATAGTATTTCTCTGTAACATGACAAAAAGTATCCGTTTATTTTTTTTTGCCTATTTGTATATATATATATATTTGTGTTGAGCCGAATGCGTACTGCGACGGCGTTTATCAGTTAAATAATCATGATAAGATGTNAAAAAAATATAAATAGTATTTCTCTGTAACATGACAAAAAGTATCCGTTTATTTTTTTTTGCCTATTTGTATATATATATATTTGTGTTGAGCCGAATGCGTACTGCGACGGCGTTTATCAGTTAAATAATCATGATAAGATGTTGGGATTTGTTTGTGCGCGTGCGAAATAGTCAGCTGTGTAATACTTCAGACCGGTTCATGGACGACATTTGTGTGTACATTCACCCCGCTCCTTTCCTATCTTGATCGTCATTTGCACTGCTCACCGCATACATTGTCGCCTTATGATTCAAATTGTTCTTAGTAATTTCCGGCATTGGGTATTTCATTTTTTTTGACCTCTACTCTAAAGGCTATCCGTGTTGTCGCCAACGGACCACCGGGTCAAACGCCGGACGTGTTGTCGGAAATTAGCCATTATCAGAACTGGTTGTCGGTTAATTTTCGTCCGTAGTGGTCGTGATTTTTGTTGTGTGCGCTGCAACTGTAATTTATATATATTTTTCGTGAGTGTCCGCTACTATAATTTCAATATGTAATTTTTTATTTACTGGCGTCGGCTAATCCTGCCTCCATTTTCTATAGTCCTTCGGGGCTGGTAATGTATAATTTATTATTTTATGTTTTGAGCCATACCTATTTTTTCTTTTTAGTGCGCCGTGCCTTAAGCACGTGTGGCGAATTGTTTTTTTTATTTTATTAAATTTTTTTTTAGGTGCCCCTATTTTGTTTATTTAGGTCCCGCAATATGGTAGGCATGTGACAAGACCACTTGTCATGTTATATCTATATTTTTTTGTGATTTTTTTATAGGTTTTATATTATATTTTATGGGGTGATGCGTAGATATCATTAGTACAATGTGGTGACGTAGTGCATTTTATTCCGAGGTGTCCCAACGTCTTGCAAGCTAAGTCTAACTGTTTAAAACCAGTCGCTTACTTGGGACGTATAACCGCCGTGCTTAACAGTAATGCCGTGATTAATAGCCGGTGGGTACCCGAAGACGTTCATCGTATTCTCTAATTGTAAAAGTGTAGGTGTAATTATTTTTTGTTACTAATAAATTTTTTTTCCTTTTCTCTCTGTTCTCCTCTAATTTGTAGACGAGGTTTTTTGACCGTTCGGTGTTTTGCCTCGTATTAAATTAATTTTTTTTGTTTTTTTTTTTTAATAAAGTCCCCTTAATTTAACTTAACTATCATCTTATTTTTTTTTGTGTGTTCTACCTTCAATGGACTCGTGTATTTTTTTATCTTTTTTCCTTTCAAAAATCAACTCCCCTTAGTTTATAAGGTACAGGCAACGGCCTTGTATAAGGTCATCCCTCATTATTATTGGTATGTGACAACTGTCACGAGGTTTTGGTGTACATCTACTATCAACGACTCAACGGACATCGATTTCAATCTATAATAATTTTCTAATTTTTTTAAATTGTTTTAATGTACAACATTTAATTTCTTTTTAAAATCCCACTGTGATCCGACAATACATTGTCTCGCCCATTGGGTTGGCGCCCTTTTCTTTTTAATTTTTCAATGCGCCATGAAAGTTACAAATTTTTCGTTGCGGCTAATTAATTCGATTTTCTTCTTTTTATAATATCTGTAACATTTCATCTCATAAAAAAATATATTGATCCATACATTTTTCAAAAATTTATAGAAATATAAAGTTAAAAATATAATACTTAAAATCTATAAATTTAACACAAAAATTACATACGGTTTGGTTATAATAAAGTCCAAACATTGTTTTATCCATAATAAAGTATATTACATTAACTTTAATTTAAGATACATATAAAAATGGCACTATTTAGAAGATTTTTTGTTGGGACAAAATTTTATTTTTAATTTATAGTTTATAATATTTATATAAGCTTATAAGCTTTAATTTAACATATGTTTGAAGGTCGGAGTATTTCCAGAACATTTTCAAAAGTTAAATTGAAAAAGATGTCATTTTGAATCCTCCCCTGTGGGCAGGTAAAGAGTCAGACTTATATAAATAATATACAAAATGATAGGTAAATACCTCACATATCTATAAAAATAAATTATATTGATTTGGTCATTTTTTTTAAAAAGTTATGGCAGTTTTAAGGAAAAAAATTGAAAAAATGTAGAAAATTAGCGATTTTTAAATTTGTAATTTTATTGGAGTTTTCTACCATTTACGGGGAAAAAGGGAAATTTTTTCAATTATTAAGAGTCATGTTTTCGACTAAATACGATTTGTGATCTTTTGACATATCGTTGAAAAAAATCGGTTCGGTGAGAGCTGAGAAAAAGTGGTAACAGACATAAAAAAAAAAAATAATAAAAAACACATCATAATAAAATTAATACCTTCTCAGCTTCGTATCGAAGCTAAAAGGCTAAGTTTTCTAAATTTAAAAAAACCAAGTACTAGTGAGTGAGAATCTTGATTTGAGTGTCGCATATATTATGTATTTTGAAATTCTCGAAAGAATTGATTTTTAGGAAAAAATGGGTTTTAGACAGAGGAGAGTAGTATAGCGATCTCTATACAGGGAGCTAATTGATTTTTTATGACGTCGCTACCAAAGTCCGGAGTATTTATTATTAATTATGACTATCAATAGATATACTTTTTGTATTGCCAGTTAATGTATTTATAAACTTACAACAATGTGCCTTACTGCCATTGATAATAAATGCTGTAAATAACCTGCAAATATCGTCGTCATAAAAAATCAATTAGCTATCTGTATTTGTAATCACTTGTGAATTATGCATGTATATTAACTAAAAAATTTGAAACTTTAAATGTTTATATCTAATAAATGAACAAAGTTATATTAAAAACTCATATTCCATCTATTATAAAATTAAAAACTCAAACATTTTATTTAATTTAAAATATGTGTTCCCATTTAAAAAGATAGATTAATAAAGATAACCAAAAAAAAAAAAAGAAAATGCTTAAATTATTTTTATTCTGTAAGTAATTGAGTGGGTTATGATAAAAATATCATTCTGTATATATCGTCATGCGCAACACTATAGTAACTCAAAAATTTCAACTTTGAGATTATGAGTGTTTAGATATAAATGTTAATCTTCTTATAATAACTTAAATCAAAATATCGATATTTTGGTTCAAGTCGGATCTCATAATTTAGAATATTGATAAGCATATAGAGTGTAATCAGAGAATATATTTTATTTTTGATCAATGTAAAATTAGAAAAAGTGATTTACTGCCTTATACGAAGCGTATATATACATATATTATATATAACAACAAACTCATTATATAGAGTGATTCATTTATCACAGATATCTTAAATAATCAAAAAAAAAAAGTAATATTGAGAATTTTTTTTAGTTTCTTTTAGGTACAATATATATATTGAATATTGGTTCCTGTCAATTTATTTTAAATAATATAATTGACATAAATTAATATATTAAAAATTACAATATTTTATCAGAATATTAATTAGGACAGCCATTTTTAGTAACATATTTAATTATTTGACGATAACCTTTTTGAGTAGCTGCAGAAATGGTACCGCTACTCCAAGGACAATTATTTTCATGTGCATATATTATGCAATAAAGTTGGTCATTTGCAGCAGCAAGTCTTGTTGTGCTTTCGTCCCACTCACAACCATTTTCATGAACATATTTTAGGCAATTTAAATTGCCATTTGCAGCAGCTCCACTCAAAGTTCCTTCATCCCAATTACACCCATTTTTATGTGCAAATATTAAACATTTAATATAACTACCCGCAGAAGCTTCCCTTGTTGTGCCTTCCTCCCAGGGACACCCATTTTCATAAGCAAATTTTAGGCAATTTAAATGTCCATTTGCTGCAGCCCCTCTCATCATACCTTCAACCCAATCACATCCATGTTTACGGGCATATTTTAAGCAATCTAACTTACCATGCACAGCTGCTGTAACTATTGTATCTTTATCCCAAATACATTCCTTATCATGGGCATATACTAAGCACTCTAAACAGCCACTTGCAGCAGCAGCTCGAGTTGTCCCTTCATCCCAAATACATCCATTTTCGTAGGCATACTTCAAACAGTTGAAACAACGACTTGCTGCAGCAGCTTGAGTTGTGCCTTTATCCCATTTGCAACCATTTTGATGTGCATATTTTAAATATTCAAAATTACCTTTTGTAGCAGCTTCACGCAGAGTTCCTTCACACCACATACATCCATTTTCGTAAAGATATTTTATTATGTTTAGATTACCCTTTAGAATTGCACTTCTCATTATATTTTGATTCCATTTACAGCCATTTTCAAAAGTATATTTCAAGCATTCTAAATTACCACTAGAAGCAGCTGCTTCTGCTGTGCTTTCATCCCATGGACATTCTTTTTCATGTGAATATTTTAACATTTTTAAATCACCTCTTTTGGCAGCCGCAGTCGATGTACGTTTATCCCATCTGCAGCCATTTTCAAAAGCATATTTCAAGCATTCTAAATTACCACTAAAAGCAGCTGCTTCTGTTGTGCTTTCATCCCATGGACATTCATTCTCATGTGCATATTTTAACATTTTTAAATTACCTCTAAAGGCAGCCGCAGACGTTGTACTTTTATCCCACGGACATCCATTTTCATAAGCATATTTTAAACATTGAAAATGGCCATAATCGGCAGCAATTTTTGTTGTGCTTTCATCCCACGGACATCTATTTTCATGTAAATATTTTAAATTTTGAAGATTATCATATCTTGCAGCCATATAAGTTGTATTTACATTACATGCATATCCATTTTCAAGGATATATTTTATAATGTCACGATAACTTAAAGTGGCAACTAAATTAGTTGTATCTTCATTCATCTCATATCCATTTACATGGGCATATTTTAATATTTCTAGATTACCCTTATATATAGCATTTCTCGCAATATCAATTTCATTAAAATTACAGCCATTTTCATGAGCATATTTCAAGCATTCTAAATTACCACTTGAAGCAGCTGCTTCTGTTGTGCTTTCATCCCATGGACAATCATTTTTATGTGCATATTTTAAAATACTTAAATAGCCTTTTTTGGCTGCCGCAGTCGATGTACGGTCATCCCATTTGCAGCCATTTTCAAAAGTATATTTCAAGCATTCTAAATTACCACTATAAGCAGCTGCTTCAGCTGTGCTTTCATCCCATGGACATTCATTTTCATGTGCATATTTTAACATTTTTAAATCACCTCTTTTGGCAGCCGCAGTTGTTGTACGTTCATCCCATTTACAGCCATTTTCAAAAGCATATTTCAAGCATTCTAAATTACCATTATCTGCCGCGGTGTATGTTGTGCTTTTATCCCACGGACATTTCTTTTCATGTGCATATTTTAAAATACTTAAATCACCTCTTTTGGCAGCCACAGACGTTGTACGTTTATCCCATTTACAGCCATTTTTAAAAGCATATTTCAAGCATTTTAAATTACCACTTGAAGCAGAAGCTTTTGTTGTGCTTTCATCCCATGGACAATTATTTTCATGTGCATATTTTAACATTTTTAAATCACCTCTTTTGGCAGCCGCAGTCGATGTACGTTCATCCCATTTACAGCCATTTTCAAAAGCATATTTCAAGCATTCTAAATTACCACTAGAAGCAGCTGCTTCTGTTGTACTTCTATCCCATGGACAATCATTTTCATGTGCATATTTTAACATTTTTAAATCACCTCTTTTGGCAACCGCAGTCATTGTACGTTCATCCCATTTGCAGCCATTTTCAAAAGCATATTTCAAGCATTCTAAATTACCACTAGAAGCAGCTGCTTCTGTTGTACTTTTATTCCATCGACATTTATGTTCATGTGCATATTTTAGCATTTTTAAATCACCTCTTTTGGCAGCCGCAGTCGATGTACGTTCATCCCATTTGCAGCCATTTTCAAAAGCATATTTCAAGCATTCTAAATTACCACTAGAAGCAGCTGCTTCTGTTGTACTTCTATCCCATTGACATTCATTTTCATGTGCATATTTTAACATTTTTAAATCACCACTTTTGGCAGCTGCAGTTGATGTACGTTCATCCCATTTACAGCCATTTTCAAAAGCATATTTTAAGCATTCTAAATTGCCACTAGAAGCAGCTGCTTCTGTTGTACTTTTATTCCATCGACATTTATGTTCATGTGCATATTTTAGCATTTTTAAATCACCTCTTTTGGCAGCCGCAGTCGATGTACGTTTATCCCATTTGCAGCCATTTTCAAAAGCATATTTCAAGCATTCTAAATTGCCACTAGAAGCAGCTGCTTCTGTTGTACTTCTATCCCATGGACAATCATTTTCATGTGCATATTTTAACATTTTTAAATTACCTCTTTTGGCAGCCGCAGTCGATGTACGGTCATCCCATTTGCAGCCATTTTCAAAAGCATATTTCAAGCATTCTAAATTACCACTAAAAGCGGCTGCTTCTGTTGTGCTTTCATCCCATTGACATTCATTTTCATGTGCATATTTTAACATTTTTAAATCACCACTTTTGGCAGCTGCAGTTGATGTGCGTTCATCCCATTTACAGCCATTTTCAAAAGCATATTTTAAGCATTCTAAATTACCACTAGAAGCAGCTGCTTCTGTTGTACTTCTATCCCATGGACAATCATTTTCATGTGCATATTTTAACATTTTTAAATCACCTCTTTTGGCAGCCGCAATCGATGTATGGTCATCCCATTTGCAGCCATTTTCAAAAGCATATTTCAAGCATTCTAAATTACCACTAGAAGCAGCTGCTTCTGTTGTACTTCTATCCCATTGACATTCATTTTCATGTGCATATTTTAACATTTTTAAATCACCACTTTTGGCAGCTGCAGTCGATGTACGTTCATCCCATTTACAGCCATTTTCAAAAGCATATTTTAAGCATTCTAAATTGCCACTAGAAGCAGCTGCTTCTGTTGTACTTTTATTCCATCGACATTTATGTTCATGTGCATATTTTAGCATTTTTAAATCACCTCTTTTGGCAGCCGCAGTCGATGTACGTTTATCCCATTTGCAGCCATTTTCAAAAGCATATTTCAAGCATTCTAAATTACCACTAAAAGCAGCTGCTTCTGTTGTGCTTTCATCCCACGGACATTCCTTTTCATGTGCATATTTTAACATTTTTAAATCACCTTTTTTGGCAGCTGCAGCTGTTGTACATTTATCCCATTTGCAGCCATTTTCAAAAGCATATTTCAAGCATTCTAAATTACCACTAGATGCAGCTGCTTCTGTTGTCTTTCTATCCCATGGGCATTCATTTTTATGTGCATATTTTAACAATTCCAAGTTTCCATTTTCTGCAGCTTTTCTCGTCATACTTTTTTTTAATTGGTATGTCTGTTCGTCTTCCGAATTTTCATTTTGTATTGCTAAATGAAAAAAATTATTAATGAACTTGTGTTGTATTAAAACTTTATCTATATGACTTTAAAATATATCTAATGAAAATTATACATCTCTCCTATCACGTTCTAGATTATTATCACTGATCTCCTCATTTCACCTACCTCGTGTTTTGACAAACTCGGACTCTATATATTTGGTTATACTCCTACTTATTCAAGCAAACCCTTTCCTTTAAAAGCTGATTGTCACACCTCTAGCCTTTAATTAATTTCCTCTCTATTTCCTCCTATAAAAAATGTAAGATCAGCGAACGAAATGCATCACGATACCTCGAATTGTATTTTTCTAGTAATTTCAACCACTACTATAGAAAATATATAAGGGTCTATAGCAGAATCTTGGTGCATTTCTATTCTTACCCTAAAATCTTTTGTTACTCTTTCCATACTTTTTAGCCTGGTATAATTGCCATCGTACATATCCTCTATTATATAATAGTGTACTTTTTTCGACTAATTATAATTATTATAAATGGATATATTGCTATTGCCCAAAAATACTTACAATTGAACTTTTGTAATTAAAAATAGCAAGAAATACTCTCAATCAAAACACTTATGTTAATAGTGATTTTTTATAGTATTATTGTATAATTAATGCATATAGTTAAGTTATATGATTTATAAAGAAATCCTTACCCTAATAATAATATATATAGGTATTACCAATTGTGTTATATTGGCTCCTTAACTTTGCAACATAATGTTAAATTATTTCAAACTATTAATAATAATTTATTTAAAAATTCTAAAAATATATTTTAATTTAATATTTGTTTAAATAATTTTTCATGATAATTTTAATGGTCATAAATAATTAGCAATATTTATAAATTATATAATTCAATATAAAATAATTTAAATATTTGCATTGAACCATACTGTTTGCAACTCTATAATAATTATACTTTTAGATGAAAACAAAGTAGATATATTGAAATAAAATTTTATGTAAATAACACTAATTTAAATCGTACAAATGTTAAAACTTTATTTGTATAATTACTGAGTTGGTAATTTTTGAATTTTTGTTACAATGGATAAATTTGTTATATAACCTTAGACAATTTTTTGGTTTTTTAATATTCTTATAATATAATTACGATGGTTGGGAAAACAAAGTACAAAAACTTACTTTTAATTAGACTAAATGTAGATTTATATAATAGAAAAACAATAATTCTTGGAATACCATAAGTAAAAAAAAACGGTAGCACAGTGGGGTCGAGGCACAGTGTGGACGAGGCATAGATGGGACAAGTATAGATGATATCTGACAGTGATTAAAATCACTATCATAAGAAACGCTTCGATGCAAATCTGTAGATAGTGTTTCCTTTAGAGAAATTGGTGAAATATTTTAAAAGCAACATGAACTCTTATTTCTTTAATTATATCCTGATTAGTAGTTCTTTGATTTTAAAATATAATATATGAATAAATACTAATTATAGTTTTTAAATTTAGTATGAAATTGTGAGGCCAGCTATGATGTATGGTTAATAGTGTTGGGCGGTTGATAAGAAAGTAGAGCAGAGAATAAGTGTAGCAGAGATGAGAATGCTTAGTTGGATGAGTGGAGTGACTAGAGAAGATAGGATAAGGAACGAGCATATAAGAGGAAGTATAGGTGTTGCGTCAATCGTGGATAAGATGACAGAAAATAGACTTAGATTGTTTAGTCATGGTATGAGGAAAGAAGAATCGAAAGCTGTAAGAACAGTTATAGAAATGAATGTTGAAGGAAGAAGAGATAGAGGAAGACCAAAAAAGAGATGGAGGGATGCTATTGAATGCGATTTGAGGACAGCTGATGTGAGCGTAGAAGATGTGGGAGATCGTGTCAAGTGGAATCTTAGGATAAGGGTGCCCGACCCCAAGTAGTTGGGATTAAGGCAAAGAAAAAGAAAAATATTACCAGATATTCCGGTGGCAATTGACATAATATGATTGTTATTTCGGAATGTACAATTTAGCGTTTAGTTGGGTTTAAATAATATAGCGTCAAATCAATTACCTACTCTATCGGTTGTATCTCAATATACACTACACTTTAATGATACAATAAATAAATAAACTCACACATACACACATATGCATTTATAACATTGTGTCTAATGTAAGTATAACATGATAAAAAGTAACCGTAAAATGAAAAAAATGGAATATAAATTTTATTACTCATATTAAATGTAATGTAACTCGAAAAATATTTGTTTAAATGAAAAAATATAAGATTATATTTTTATTTATAATTGTCTTTTAAACAACTTTTGTGCGAAACTTTTTTTTGTAAGTTAAATATTTTTTTTTGAGAAAATTAAGAAAGCTCATATTTTTGAACTTTTGCGAGGATTTAAAAAAAAAGCTCAATTCCAATCTTGAGGACTATTAGTATGTCATTATACATATTTTAATTCAACTTTTAAAAAAACAAAATTTTTTCCGCAATTTTTCCTTTGTTGACTGGCCTAGATGTCAATTTTAAACTTGTAATTGAGCTAAAAGTTATGGTAATATATTCAATTTATTTTACTATAAACTTTCATAAATCTTTATCAAAAATTTTTCATCAACTTTAAAGAACCAAAAAAATAGGTTAAAATTGAAAATTTGGACTGATTATTTTTAACATATTAAAAATCAAATCAGTAATAATTTGAAAACAAATTTTTTTTTCTTTTAATTATTATTTTATATATATAATTAGTAATAATATAAAAAATTAGAAGTGATAGAAATAGTCTACTTGCAGATTTGAAAACAACGCGAAAAGTTGATTTAGAAAAGTATATTTTTGCTTCTGATGAAAGTTCCTTGTAGTCCAGTGCATTTTTTTATAGTAACAAACAGTTTTTATTGAAAATTATTGTATCAAGCCCTTTAAATTTTTATACACGTAAAAGTAAAGCAAAATATAACTTCTTTATTATTTTTATAATTTCTCCGTTTAAATTACAATATTAAATATCAATTTCATACTAAATTTAATAATTATAATTAGTATATATTCAAATATTATATTTTAAAATCAAAGAACTACTAATCATGATATAATTAAAGAAATAAGAGTTGATGTTGCTTTTGGAATAATCCACCAATTGCCTAATTAAAACAAAAAAAAAAAAAGTTTGTTGGGAATTTTTTCTGCTATTCTGCAAAATTACTCCTTCGTTGACTAGAATGAATCATTAAATAGAAAATTTTATGAGAATTAAAACAATGTTATTTTTAAGATTAATATGCAGTCAGAAAGTTTTATAATTATTATTTATTGTAAATTTATCAGAAAAACTCATTATTTTTTGCATTTTTATCGTAATAGAACACTTAAATAGAAATCATAGTAATCATTTCTAAGTAATTTTTGATATTTAAAAAGATTCTACTATTGAAATATCCAGAACTGAATTAATTTTAATGATTTACTTTAACTAAAAAAAAAAAAGTTAATATTTTGAATCCCTCTTGTGGGCAGGTAAAGGGTTAGATTTATAAAAAAAACCAAATGATAGATAAAGACATGCATCTAAATAAAAAAAAATATACTGATTTGGTCATTTTTGATAAAGTTATAACAATTAACAAAGTTATAAGTTTTATACACTGGACTACAAGGAACTTCCATCAGAAACAAAAATATACTATTCTAAATCAACTTTTCGCGATGTTTTAAAATGTGCAATTAGACTTTTTCTATAACTTCTAAGTTTTAATATTATTAAAAAATAGTTTTTACATATAAAAAAAAATAATTAAGAACAAAAAAAATTGTTTTAAATTAATACTGATTTGATATAATATTTAATATTAATTTGATTATTAATAAGTTAAAAATAAGGAAAATGACATATTTAACCAATTTTGTTAATCGTTTAAAGTTGATTGTTGTAAATGTTTATAAAAAAAAAAAAAAATTTATTTTACCATAACTTTTAGCTCAATTGGTAAGTTTGACATTGACATAATTAAATAGAAAATTTTATGACAATTAAAAAAATTGTATCGTTAAGATCAATATGCAGTCAGAAAGTTTTATAATTACTATTTATTGTAAATTTATCAGAAAAGCTCAATATTTTTTTGCATTTTTATGGTAATAGATAACTTAAATAGAAGTAATAGTAATAATTTCCTAGGAACTTTTGTTGTTTGTTGAAAAGATTCTATAATTGAAATATTGAGAACTTAATTAATTTTAATGATTTACTTTAACTAAATGTACCAATCAAAACAAAGTTGTTAAAAAGATTTACTCAATTGAGTTTATTATAAAATTTGATTATATTTGTAAAAATCAATTGTTAATTCAGGAGAAAAAACAATCATTTTTTTTAGAAATGATTTATATAGCAACACGTTAGAAAAAAATTTGAATATTATAGTCTAATAGTAGCACACACAAACAGAGTAATAAAATTATTAAATTACAAAGTAAAATGATTTAATTTTGTAGTTGAAACCTATCATATCAAACTTCATTCGTTAATAAATATTTTGAAAACATTAGAAATTAATGATTTTAATTGTCTTTATGGAGACGATGTAATAACTAACTGTTTAATTGATAAATTAGAATTTTTTTTTCAATTTTTGAGAGTAATATCTTCAACTAGATACGAATTGTAGTAATTTGACGTATTGTTGAAAAAAGTAGGTCAAGTTAGAGCAGAGAAAATAAATGATAGTCACAAAAAAATATCTTCTCGGCTTTGCATCGAAGCGAAAACTTAAAATATAGTAAAATAATTTTAATACGAATAAGAAATTTCTTCTTGCAAGGGGCGACTAAAGTGATGGGATCCTTGATCTTTATTGAAGTTATTGAATCTAAATGTGATAAAAATCAAACGAGTTAAAATTTATACTAACTTAAAAAGAATTAAGAAAAAATGCAAAAAATTCATTGCCATATGCGGGTTGGAACCTCGTACCCCAAGCGTGTAAAACATAAATTTTACCAA